CCCCTAAAGCCCTAAACCCCCTAAGCGGCCACGCTGATGCACACTCCGCCAAAAGGCTTTGCGCCGAAGCCGCCTGCAGCTCGAAGCTGGACAGGCCTGAATCACCGCGTCGATTTCACTAGGGACGGTCGGCAGTTTAGGGTTTAGGTTTAGGGGTGTAGGGGTTTAGGGGTTTTGGGGTTTAGGGGTTTAGGGGTTTAGGGAGCAGTAGCAGTATCAAGTGGCAGGCAGGGGCAGGGGCAGATGGATGTTGTCGCATTTGCTTGCGAGGGCAGCTCTTCCTCAAGCTCGTCGCAGGCTCCTTCAGCTTGGGCATGTGGGAAAGCAGCCCCGTTTCCTCTGATGGACTCGTGACTAGAGTCTAATCCGGCAAGGAGGTGAGGCAGCTTTTAGCTGACACAGGCGTTTGGCAAACTTGTGCTTGCCACTGCCTTCCCCAACAAAATGTGCAAGTTGCGGGCAGGGACTTGTAAGAGTTCCTCTGTTCTTCTGTCTACTCGATGCCAGAGGACCCAACGCCTTTTCGCTTGAAGCTCTTTGCGGCACCGGAGATTCTTGAGTAGCCTGCCTCCTATGCCCGAATGTTGCAACTTTGGCAGGTTTTTCCGCAAGCTCGTGCGATTGAGGCCGGTGAACAGAGGAATCGCAGCATTACAGAAAAGTACGGCAATCGTCGATAAGAACAAAGACAAGAGGCATGGCAGTCATGGTACGGAGACAAAGCCAGTTATAAAGAGAATGGCAGCAACAACCATAATGTGGAAGTTGTTCTCGCGCGCCTGAGCATAACGGGTTTTAGTGTGACTGATTGTCCCTCTTCCTGTTCTTGTTTCATCTGCTGATGTACGTTACTGGTTCGGGCTTAGATGAGCAGTAGCAGTGCCATCTTTGCAAGCGCTCTAGTAGCTGACGTCATCGTCGTCGTGGCTGTTGCCGTCGCCCTCGCCAACCCCCAAGTTCGTAGCAGCATGTAGTTGTGTTCCAGGGCAGCTCGTCCTCAAGCTCGTCGCAGGCTCCTTCAGCAGGGCGTGTTGGAAGTAGAGCCGTTGCAGATTTTCTTTGATGTGAGGGTCTGAAGAAGTACTTTTGGATGTCAAGGCTACGGCAAGGAGAACCGCAACTAACAGAAGAATAGCCGGACTTGAGGCAGTGAGACTTGGCCACAACAAGCGCGAACTGTAGCAATAGCAGTGGCGGCAGCATTACTAGCAGTCCTCCGGTCGTCAGACTCGTCAAGCTACAGAGCCTGCTCACTTCCTCGCTTGTCGTGCAAGTCTGGAGCAGGAAGCATCCCAACTGACATGGCCGTTTTGCTTCCTCGCTGTGCTGACTTGCGCAGGTTTCGCCGGAGGCTCGAGCGCTGCAGGCCTGCGGCAAAGAGAGCAAGTGGTAAGTAATGGTAGCGGCGAATATTGGCGGCAACGCTGGGCGAAGCGGTAGTCAGTGCAGGTTTTGAGAAAGCGTAATTACTGGTATGGTAGCAGAAGCTTATGTAGGGGAGTCTTCAAGAACGTTTGATTTGCAAGTCTTCACGGTCGAAGCCGTGGGGAGTTGGTTTGGGAAGGTTTGGTTTTGGTCGACTCTGTGTGTACGTATATCGCGAAGCGGGGAGTTGGGGAGTTCCCGATGGCCCAAGTGAAGAAGAACGGCATCATTCTCTATTTTTGTCTTGTTGCTATCTGATCTTTGTAGTTGTTACCGATGCTCGTGCGATTGTATTTGCCGCGGCTGCCACTGCGTCTTCGTGCGTGGCTGTGTGTGCCGACGCCCATTTCGAAAGCACGACGGGCACGTGCGCAAGTTTTGCTGTCGTTGCGGCGTACAGGCCATGGTTTCTGCCGCCGTTAGGTGTCCTTACTGCCGAAGTTGCTCTTTCAATAATCTTGGCTTTTGCCCTTCACCTTTGCCCCTGACCAAGGCAGCTTCTCTAGCCCCCTAACCCTAGGCCCTAAACCCTAAACCCCAAACAAAACCCCAAACCCTAAACCCTCAACCCCGAAACCGTAGGCAAAGCAACGCCCTCGCCAGCGAACTCCCGAGCCAAAGCCTGACCACAGCCGATAGGAGCTGGCCGGATGCAGTTTGGACGAGGCAGTGCAGGCCTGCCCTCGGCCTAATATAGGGGCCTACCATAATTTCCGGCATTATTTTGGGGGGGTTCCTTATTATAACTATAGAAAAATCCTACATTATTTTGGGAGGTTCCTTATTATAACTATAGTATGATGGGCCCGACCCTGTATTATGTCATTCTTTTTTCTCTGACGTGAAGGCTTACCATTCCGGGCGTGCCTTGCAAGAGCCTTCAGAGGCCCTCCGAACTTTTGGCAGCGCTGACGCCGCAGCAGATGTTCTGAGCTCATGGTGGCCGAAGTCACTTTCGGATGGTTTTGTTCTAGATGCTAGAGTCTGTGCACACGAAGAGGCCCAGGAAGCGAAGGCACGGTAGGGTTCAAGGTCCTGGAAGCGAAGGCAGGAGCATGCAACAAGGATCGATGGAACCCGCATGATCAGGCCACGGTGGCCAGAGCGATGGAGATTTTTAAAAATTCTTGGACGGCTTCTGCGTCTCCAAAAATCCCTATACGTAGGCCCTCAACTCTCAAAAGGCCCTAAACCGACTTCTGGTCCCGGCGATGCTTTGCACCGAAGCCCCTACCGGCCTTCTGTGCCCAGGCGCTCCTGGGTGGGACGCCGGAGCCAGCGCCGAGCATCGCTCCGAAGGCATCGTAAAGTGCCTTAGAGTCTGCTGCCCGAAGTTCTAGCTTCTGGTCTGAAGCCCTGAATGTTAAGTTACGGCACCCTAAAGCGCTGGGGCCAAAGGGCCTATAAGTTGATCTCGGATGGGATGTTTTGACTGTGCAGCCTACAACCCTGAGCCAGAAGCCCCGTGGAATTCGACAGCTTTAGGGGTTTTAGGGTTGAGGCCTTGAATCTCTGACTTTGAAAGCTATCCAAAAACTCCCGAAACCCCCCAAACTCTGACCCGGTTTCACCTGAACCGTAATTCCTAAACCCCAACCGTCCAGACCCGTAAAGCCTGAGCCGAAGTCGAGTTGGAGCTCGAATTTCATGGTTTTTCTTTGTGGCAGGCCGCGAGCCTCTCCGAAACGGGGAAGAGGCCGACGGCAGTCAGCATTGGCATGGCGTAGGCTTTCGCGGCGTGCGTATGATATATATATATATATACATACATACACACACACACACACACTGTGTAGAGTGAAGCGTTGCAATCAAACCATGATGACGACCATGCACGATATGGTTATGATGATGATGACGATGATGGTGATGATGATGGCTCGTATTGATAGTGTTCTTCCTTGTAATACTCATGGCAATAGAAGAGCAGATGCAGACAAATTGGCTGCAACGCAGGGTGAGTATCCAATCCGCGGGTCATATTCTCGCGTTGGCTTCTGGAATGGTCTCACAACGTAGCAGCCCTACGCCAGCACACCCCGGAGGATGGACCTGGAAGGCAAGAGAACCGTTTCATGACTACTTAAAGGATCATGGGACTTAGTTGGGTTATAATTAGGGCAGCTATACTTATATCCCCAATTAAGGTACTTATAACCTTACTTTCTAAGTCCCATGATCCTCCAAGTATGGGAGGCCGGCAGAGTCGGCAGGGGAGGTCCCGGAGGCCAAGAAGCCCATGTTTGCCCCTGAGCGGATGCACTGAGGCCTTGAACGCTTCTGGCTTTCGGAGTTTGGTTCCGGTGCAATTCCTATCCAAACCTAACCCTCCAGGTACCTACTATATAGGACCCTAGGGGCTCTAGTACCCTATATAGTATTCCTATCCAAACCTAACCTTGCTTGAGTCTAGCCCCTGGACAGTGCTGAGGTCAGGGGCGGCGATGGGCGCAGGCAGAGCCTTTGGAGCAGGCAAGGCTGCCTTGCGGCAAAAGAGGGCGCTGAAGACGATTCCGAGTCCGAGGCTTCTAAGATGCAAAGGAGAAGCCAAAGAGGATTCGACTCCCCCCCTGCACCAAGTGAAAGCACACCCCATGATTCCAGGCCAAAGAGGCCCCAAAGGCAAACCTCCATGGGTTCTGACAGCCGCTTTGCAGGTGCCTTTTCAAGGCGACTGAGCCAGGTGACTGCCAGCATCGACTTGGACTGAGCCGAGAAAGACACTCGGGCCGGTGGGGTTACGGATTTCGGATTTCGGAGGACTTAGGCGACTAAGCTTTAAAACTTAGGACCCCCTTCGTCTGGTTTGGGCTACAGGCACCACCAGCCCCACCCCATGTAACATCCACCATCCCAAAGTTTAAAAAACCACGGTGTTGTTACTACATTGGCTGTTAGATCACGCATATAAATCGGAACGTATGCTCCACCCCTGCTGTCTCTGAAGGATACTGATACTCCTTGGTGTGATTTAGTCTTCAGTTGGTATGAATGGACATATTTTCTTGGTTCTCTTGGGTTGGTTCTTCCTGTTCTTTTGTTTGGTATCTCCTAACTTTAAAGCGGGCTTACGGCTTACGTAACCTTGGGACTGCACCAAGAAGGTTGGCAGCAAGCTGGGCTTCGGGACTCCAGTGCAGCCTTGCCGGTCTCGATCTGAATACATCCAAGTTCCCCTCGAGCCCTAAAGGTTAGGCCTTGCCTTAATACAATTATAGTAAAAGGGACACCAAAATCCGATTCTAATTACTAAGGCCCCTATCTTAAGCCTGGCGGCCGTGGATTTGAACCCTAAACCTTAAACCCTATATTAAGCGCGGCCGTGGATTTGCAAGTCCTCGATCTCGCACCGACTCGAAGCTTCGCGGCTCAAGCGGGGGTTTCTGAGGGGTGGGCCGAAGCACCGAAGCCTTTTTGCTCCCTTCCCCAGCACATGGCAACCCCCCATGAGAACACTTTCCAAAGGCCGAACATGAAGGGGCCGGGGCCAAACCAGAACGTGGGAAGTCAAGAAGCTTGTCCTCGGGTCCCCTATGAGGCTTCTTCACACATTTTCAGAAGTCAGTGGCTGCTTTCACAGGGCTCTTTTTACGGCCTTGCCTGGAGGGTGGAGGCGGGCCGGCTACGTGCTTTTGGTCGCGCCGTTTCTTTTCCATCATGGAGAGTGCAGCCGGGCGCTCGGCGGACGGTAGAAGTCAAGGATGTAAGAAGGGTAGAGCTGGTGCAAGCAACACAGTAAGATTAACCTGACCATGCTGATGCCTTTCTACTTCTGCATTCTGGTGTTCGTCCATTTTTGCTTTTGCGTTTCTGCTTGTGCATTGTGTTCTTGTCCATTCTTGCTTGTGCATTTCTGTTTGTGCGGTCTGGTGCTTGTCTAGTCTTGCTAGTCACGTCCCTTCTGGCTCTCTGCGTATCCATTTTGGGGTACTCGACCTGATTGGGGTATGGACGCCATAGCAAAAGCAGTCGTCATTGCCTTACCACCATAACCACCATCACAACCATCACCATCATCACCGTTGTCCCCACAGTCACCATCAGCAGCAGCACCACCACCACCACCGCCGCCACCGCCACCACCACCACCACCACCACCACCACCACCACCACCACCACCACCACCATCAGCACCACCACCACCATCAGCACCAGCACCATCAGCACCACCACCCTCACCACCATCACCAACAACACCACCACCATCACCACCATCACCATCATGACCATCAATATCACCACGTCGTCATCATCATCATCATCATCATCGTCCTCGTGCTCGTCGTCATGATCATCATCATCATCATCATCATCATCATCAGCATCACCATTATCATCATTATCATTACCATCATCATGATCATCGTCGTCATCGTCATCCTCGTCATCATTATCATCACCATCATCACCATCATGACCATCGTCAGCACTATCATCACTTTCATCACCAGCATCATCAGCATCACCTTCATTCATCATCATCATCATCATCACCATGACCACTACCACAGCCGCTGCTGCCGTCGTGGTCGTGGTCGTCTTTTCGCCCTGCAGTAGCAGTAGCAACAGCAGCAGCCGGTGGGTGCGGCTTCGGCGGCGAAGCGCGATCGTAGAAACAGCAAAGCATCTGCGTCTGCCTTCTTTCAGCCCCACCCCCAAGCTCAAAGTCCATCCGAGGAGGCCAAGCGCCGTCGCGTGGGCACCGACGAAGCCGTGATGCCTGCTCCGGTGGCGCTCAAGCGATTAGAACAGGGTTTGGGAGTAGATTGTAGTCGATAGCTATTTCGGGATTATACACGGATGTTCTTATTGATTGCGCCGCCCGCTTTTATCGAGGGTTCTCTGTAATTTTTGTTCTGGGCTTCGGGCTTGGTCCGAGTTTCGTGCTTGGGATGTGGCGTTTCGGGTCTACTTAGGTCTGGGTCGATTTTTTGCAATGCGAGAGACTTCCATCCCAAGTCTTCATCAGCCGAAGCCCCGTCCGCAGGATATGATGATGGGCATGTCCCGAAGCATGGTGCTGTCCTCAGACCACTGCAGGCGAGTCGCCATCTCTGTGTGTGGCTTTCCTTCCTTTCTCCGTTCTGACTTTATGTGCACACATGCATACACGCTTGGTTGCTTTCTTAAAGACATTCTCACATGCATGCAGACATGCATGCATGCTCGCTCGCAAGTTGGCATGTACTGTATCGCAGCGCACTCAGTCAGTCAGTTCTTTTTTGCTGGCGCAGGTATCTGGTTACCATGTCCGTTTTGGTTCTTGGTGTGGCTCGGACCTGATTCTTGCAGAACGCCGCCTGCAAACGAGGTGACGATGATGCAGTTCAACGAGCAGAAGCAGGCGGGCAGTGTCTGCGAGCCATAAGCCCCACTCTGAACCTGGACATCACACCCAAAGCCCAAACCCTAAACCCTCAACCCCTAAACCCGAAACCCTAAAGCCCTAAACCATAAAACCCTAAACCCCTAAACCCCTAAACCCCTAAACCCCAAAAGCTTGAAGCTCGAGCACGGGACCTAACGAAGCTGGGGCCGGCCTTCGGGTTCCGCCATGCGAGGAGTGTGGGATCCGGGCCTGGGCCCTGCATGAGGCTGATGTAATGTAGGGGCCCTAAATAATTACCTATACTATTTTTGGAGGTTCCTTATTGTAGTTATGGTAGAATATACCAAGAACCCCTATTCTAGTTATTAAGGCCCCTACAGTGTTGGCTCCCTTTCTTGTCTCACCCTGGAGTTCAGTCGTTTGTGTTTGCATTAGGCACGTCCCTTGGACTTTCAGCCTGCCCGAAAGAAAGAAAGCAGGCCCCTACAGTAGCATCGAAGCCCGCAGGACTACATCAGCAGCCTCTCCAACATGGAGGAGGACACGCCTGAGTGCTCCCAATTGGGGTGCTGGCTTTCGCAAGCAAATCTCGGGCTCTGTAACGGCTTTTGCGCGACTGTCAGACCAAAGTCTAAACACCAAGCTGCGAAGTTGTGGGTCACATCCATGAGTGGTTTCCGGAACCCAAAAGCCACGGCCCCAGGTACAATGCTGCGCTGCAGGCTGGCTGCCTTTTGCCCCCGTGGTCGCTCTGGTTTCGTTGAGGTGTTTGAGTGCTTCCTTCTGTTTTGGGTCTCGGGGGCAAGCTCATGTGTTGGGAATTCACGGCTTTGGATTCAGACTCCGGGCAGGAAAGCAGTGTACACTGCAAGCAGTCCTGGATTTTGCTCCTCGGTTCTGCGTGTGATCGGCGAGTGGCTTCTGGCGCCCACCCGTCCTGCAAAACTTGGGGTCCTGAGTATGGCGACCCCTGCCCTGATACTCTGAACCCCGAAACGGGTACTCCTACCCGGAGCAGCTCCGTGCTCTGAAACAAAACGGCACTTCAGTGGCGTGAAGACTCTCGTTTCCTTCGGCAAGACATGTCAAAAACACGCCGGAGGGCGAGCGGACCAAAGTACAGCTCAAGTCAAGGCAGAGTTGGAACGGAGCAGACACGGAGAGGAAGTGAAAAAAGGCTACAAGGATCTACAAGGCCTAGCATGGGCAGATCCTAGATCGTGCCAGAGTCTAGATCAAACAGGTGGGTGCCCTTCCGGCACTTACCTTGTCCCCCCCCGCCGTTTGCCTTTACAGGAGTGCCACAAGCGTGGAGCAGAGCGCTGTGTGAAGGCAGGCAGTTCCAGGATTCGGGTTTCGCGGGAGTTGCAGTGGGTCCAACTGTCGGGGAGAAGTCTGCGGTGTTTCCGGCAGTGGGTGCAGGGTGAAAGGGTGTGGGAGTGCATCCCTACTGGACGTAACCTTTCCAACTCACGCCCAGTTGAGTGCTTGCCAGGTAGCCAGCCAACATCGTGGGCTGTACGTCAAGGCGCGCTTCGTTGAGGTCTATGCGTCTTTCACTTCGCAACCGAAGGGGCTGCAGGGCAAGCCCGAAGGTTAGCCCGTCGCCCTCCCACATGATCGGACGTGCATTCATGCAATCCTGCAGATGCGTCCAAGCAACTTGCTGATGCCATTTATGGACCTCACCAGGTGTCATGGGTGACGTGGTGGAAATCCAATTTGCCTCTGTCGGGCTAAATCCTCGTTCCCAAAGCTTCGGCGCCAAGCACAACGCACCAAAACCCCGAAGACCCTACACCCTTCGTACCTTAAAGACCCCAAACCGCTTAATCAATCCGGAATCCGGATGCGAAGTTGCTCTGGCGAAGGGAGAAAAAGGCCTTAAAACAAAGCAAGACTTGACGCTGCATCGATGCGTGCACAGTTTTTCCTCACAGGCAGCGCAGTTTATCGCCTCCATCCGGGGCGGCACGGGGGAGCGCGGTGTACCAAAGCCGTGCCCAAGCCGGTGTTTTCTCAATCATACCCTAAACTTTAAACGGCCCTAAACCCTAAGCCCTAAACCCTGAACCCTAAACCCGGGCCCTAAACCCTAATCCCTATGCTGAATCCCTTAGATATCCATGTGCAGGGGCCTTAGAAACGCGCAAAATCTTCAAATATAACAGCATGTCTCGACAGGCTCAAAAAAAAGTTCAGGACTGAGCTACACAGCTTCAGGTTGTTAAGCTGCCGCGAGTTTGTGTTTTGTTTTTTGGGAGTGGGGGGGGTCCCCGGGGGGTGCGAGGTACACCGATGCGCTGGCTGTTTTCACCGACCACGCCCCGCACAAGCGCCTTGGAAAAAAGTCGTGACATCTCGGGAGCGTGCGAAGCTTTCGCACTGCCGTCAAGGCTTCAGAGATCAAACCCGCCTGTTTCTGTTATCCTAAGTAGTAGGATCTTTATTATAAGGACCCCCAAAATAAGGTACCCCTAAGGTACCCCTAGTTTTCGGAAACTCCTACAATCGATATGCTGCGAATCGAAAGTTGAGGGGCGTAGAGGCTTCAAGCTCTGGCGGCAAGCTGAAACCCTAAATCCTAAACCCTAACCGTCAGCGAGGCGAACACGCAGCAAACGAGCCGAAGAGTCATGACTAATTCCCGACAGAAGCTGACTTCTGCCGAGCGGCTAGTCGTCACCCCTGCATGTTGTCCTGAAGACTGCGGCACCTTGAACCATTGAAGTTGCACCTGACCTTGAACTAGACTGATCTCGAGCTGAATCAGGGCAATGTATAGGAAATCCGAGGCGCATCGACGAGGTTGCAGAAGTGCTGAAGGACCTCCGGCGGCAGATTTAGGGTGCGTGATACGGTAAACTAAGCCAGAGGAGATTTGGGTTGCAGTTTCTTGCGTCGAGTTGAGTAGCGATGGTGTGCTTGAGTTTGGCCGTCGCATCTTGGAGCCTGGGTCGTTCTTGTGCTGTGTGGTCCACGGGCTGGCTTCAAGTGAGCTGTCGGCCGCCATCTAAAACTGACATGGTGAGAACAAGACTGATGAAGTGAAACAACAGGAATAACTCTAAAACCCTAAACCCTAAACCCGACTTCCTGCTTACTTACTCTTTCCGTCGCTGAGCCACTGTTCTTGAAGCAGTTGTCAGAGCTCATGCAAGTACGGGGGCAAGGTGGTGAATCCCTGCTGTCTCGATGCTCAGCCCAACAGCCCCAGCCTGATAGGCATTCTGACGGCCGAGACCACTCGCTAGAGGAAAAGGGGCGACAAAAGAAAACACAAAAAACCGAAATCCTAAGCCCCCAAACCCCAAACCCTAAACCCAGAGAATCACGTCAAGCATTCCAAGGCAAGGCTCCTGGCAACAATGGCATACATATCAGAAGCCCTTGCAGATGAGAGCCATGATTCGTGGTCATATGGGAGTTTCCAAAAATTAGAGTACCTTATTTTGGGGTCCTTGCAATAAGGATCCTACTATTTGGGGTACTATTTTAGGGTCACCTATTTTCGGAACCCCCCCAGAGGAATCACCACAATGGTGGCAGTCTTGACCAATTCGTATCTGTGGCAAGAACATAGGCTCGACAGGCTGCACCTCCAACAACCATGGAAATAGTGGCGCAATGTCGTGAACTACGAGTGGCATGTGATTATCAGCATCTTCGTCCTTCTCTTCTCCGCCTGTCGTGCTCTGCTTCGGGGCAGTTTGACCGCAATGGGGTAGTGCTGCTTGGAGTTGACAGGAGTGCATGAGCTTGGGCGACTGGCCTGCGACGCCTTTGAATCAGGCACCCTGCTTTGAGGGTTGTGGCCAGGACAAAAAATGAGCTTCGAGGGGGTGAAGGCAACAGTTTACGTCTTGGATGCTGATGTTTGCATGAGTCTTGCCCGTGTCTGCACGTGTGTTGTGCATCAGGGCCGGAAAATCGGGCAGGCCAAGTCTTCGTGTCTGTCCACCATCATGTGGGGTCGGGAAGGGCCGTGTAGAACTCGCACCCCGGATGAAACTCGCAAGCCACGCTGAGAGTGCCGTGCAGGATTGCGACCTGAGGTGTATCGAGGCCTGGGGTGCGGTTACAAGACATGGCTTTTTACTGGGCAGCTTGAGTTTGGTGAGCGCCGCCCTGAAAATTCAATGGTTCAATCCCGAACTCTACTACGGCACTAAAGCCCTAAAACCCAAGCTGTTGTAGCCGAATGCTCGACTGTTTCTGACGAGCTTGGGTAGGCAAGTCAGGCGTGTGAATCCTTTCAGGCTAACAAAAACGAATGAATGCCGTCATTTCAAAGACTGGACGGCTACCGCTCCATCTGTTTATCGTAGACTGAATAGTTCAGATCCTTCTGGCAGGACATCCCGATTGCATCGGCAAGCTTGGCACAGGCCAGGACTCCAAGTGTTTGTTCGGGGTTTCGCTGCCGGGAGCCATTTTCTTTGCGCACGGATGCAAGGAACCAACTTTGCTCGGATGATGATACCGTAAGAGCTAGAGCCAGCTGGGAGTTTTTCAGATGCAGACGACTATCAGGTTGTGCTTCTAGCCAATGCGCGTGGTGGCATAGTACTGCACACCCGAAAGGATGCCTCAACCTTTCAATTCCAGCATTCGCACAAAGCCCCGTATGCTTAGCCACAAACTGTAGGCCTAAAGCTCGAATCCTAAGGCCTGCCCGGGCCCGAACCACTGCCCCGAGGTGCACCGTGCTGAGCTCAAGGATGGCACCAGGGTTGCGGTGAAAATCCAGTGAGCCACACGAGCTACAGTAGCAGAAAGGAGCTTAGGGTTTAGGGCCACCACCACCACCATCAACATCCTCATCGCCATCGCCATCTCCATCCCCATCATTTCGATCATCTTCCTCACCGTGGCCATCGCCATCGCAAGCGCCCTCCTCCTCCTCGTCCTCCTCCTCATCATCATCATCATCACCACCGTCATCATCGTGATCAACACCATCATCGCCATCGTCAACATGGTCTTCATCAACATCAACATCATCATTACCATTTTCCTCCTCCTCCTCCGCGTCATCACCACTACCACCATCATCATCACCATCATCGCCATCAGCATCATCATCGTCATGGTTTTGGTCATGATGATGGTGATGATGATGATGATGATGGTCATGGACATGATTAATTATGATGGTGAGGATCCACAATCAGAATCATCACCGTGACCATCTCATCGTGATCGTCGAACGGACGCTTTGGGTGGCCTGGTTTTGCGCCGGGAGGTCCTCAAGAAAGGCTGGGCCCAAAATGCATCCCTGGCGCAGGTACCCTGAGCTTCGGAAGGAAATGGCCTCCGACTTTGCAGTTTTCAAGACCATGGGCACGCAGGCTGAGTGGCAGATTTTACATGTATCACACGGTGTCTTACATCGCCCGACTTGGGCTTCACCAAGTCGCGCTGGCAAGGGGGTAGCGTTCACTTATGGAAGAGAGCTTTGTTACTTTTCAGCTTGCCCTGCCGCAGATCAAGCAGATGGCTGCCGGATACGACCTCATGTGGGTGGCCGGAATCTCGGAAGTTGGCTGCTTTTCAGACAAGCTTTCCTAAGCTTAACAGGAAGGTCATAATGTCTCTTCTCCTGATACCGTCCGGCTCTTCGGACGCTCTTGGCACATGCCTGGTCAAGTCTTTTATAGTCTCTTCTTTCTCATTGTGCATGCCGCCTGCCCCCCCTGGCTTCTGAGCCTGGGCAGACATGAGCTTCTCGTTTGTGTCCTGGAGTCCTGACCTCAACAGCTTCCGCGTGTGACGAGGCTTTGGGGCTTCTCGGTGCCCTCCTTGCATTGAAGGTTTTGTCTCAGAAGAACTGGAGCTGTCGCTCCTGTTGGCTTCGTGCAAACAATCTCTTGAGAGAGACTCCTCAAAGATTGCTCGCATGCGAATCTTCCCCAGGTGGAGGATTTCGAAAAGGTGGGCCACTTGCTGCGAAGGGAAGCTTAGAGTGGAGAAGGTGTGACGGCATGCTGTGCGCACGTTCCTCTCTGATCTGTGATACCAAGCGCAATGTACTCGCAGGCACAACTTTGCTGCTGATCTGGTCGATGTTTCACAATGGATCTTGTAAACGCTAAGTCAGTTCCTCGCTATCCGTCACCGCAATTGGTCTTGGTCTGCAACTATCGATACAGCAATGCCGGACATCGAGCCTGCTAACTCGATACTACTTCTATCACGTCCCCCCCCCCCTCTCGGTTTGACCAGAACCTCACGCGGGAGCTGGATTTTACCTTGGAGGCTGCCAGCGGCGAGGATCCGCGAAGCTTCCGTTTTTCCTTGCACCACCCTAACCCCCAAACACTAAACCCTAAACCCTAAACCCATTATGGTTACATCAGCCTTTGCCGCAGAGTTGTCGTCAGCGGAGTGCTTAGGGAGCCGCAGAGTCGCAGCAACATCATGTTCCGTCGCAGTGATGGCAGTTTAGCCTGGACTTTCCAAGCAACATACACAGAAGTGCAACAGTTTTTGTGCCAGTTCAAGGATTGCACTGCGAACCATCGAGTCAGCTTGACGGCGACGAAAGCTAATATGGCCGTGATGGCGCTTCGAATCATGATAGATTGAGAACCGATGATGAGCAAGAACAGTCATGCTCCTCTTCCGTTGCGCTGGTGAGGAGACAGCGCGGCAGCTCGCCCACCGGTACCCAAGAGTCTACGTGCCCAAGGTGGGCGGCGTGCACCTGCCTGCTGTTGCAAGTATCCAGCATCTAAATCAAGCTGTGGGGATATCGTCACCAGAGGACGATCCGCCAGTGTGGAAGGAAGGCGAAAGAGTGGTCGGCGTCCCTCGGTACCTCCCAGGGCTGGGCGGTCGCATGTGAAGGATTGGGCGCGACCGTTGCGTTTCTACGCAAAATTCGAGAAGCGGGAAGACTGATTGGAAGGAAGGTCGGAAGAAACCAGATGAATGGTAAATGATGGGTGGTGATGATGCTGACGATGTTGATCTCATGATGACGATGATGATGGTGACGACGACAATGATGATGATGATGATGTTGATGGCGACGGTATATGACGATAATGATTACGGAATGGCACTTAGGCTGAGCACAAACGCAGCAAATAGCGTGAGCAGTCTATAGAGCCAACAGCTGAACGAGCAGATCATCGCTAGAACGATTGTTCCGATCCCTGTGAGCTTCGGATGCCAAGCCGGAGGTCTTCAAAGAGTTCTCTTCGTCGCGGATCATAGTCATGGAGTATCTCGAAGGCGGGCCGTCCTGGATCGCACCTTAAACCCACCTCTCACTCAAACTTGAAAAAGTGTCAGAGTCGGGTTGCACTCTCCCCCGAGAAACAAAAGCCGCGTCCCCAACAAAGCTGCGACCCACAGCCCAGAACTCGAGTTCCCAACAAAGCTGAGCTATGTGGGGCCAGGTTTGCTGAAAGCCAACGATCCGGAAGGCCAGAGGGTGTGGATCCGGAGTTGGCCCAAAGCTCCTGCAACACTGCTTGACGGAAAGTAATGAAGGGACGCATCTTAGGAGCTGCCTTGTTCTTTGTTCATGCCGGGTCCCTCCTTATTTTGCGCGGATGTGGGAGGCCTGCGGCGTGCAGGTCTGGATGTCGATGAGCCGGGGCCCGGGGTGTTGCAATTCAAAACTGGAGTCGCTTCGGCTGGTTTCGTAGCAGCCGAGCGCTTTTGCCGAAGATGGATGATTGGTGAGATGGGAAGCTGCGTGAAGTCAGGCTTGCAGGGCAGGTGGTCGCCAGCATCTTGGTGTAAATTGGCGATGCTCCTTGGTCAGTTGGAGATTGCACAAAGGTGTGCCCAGCTCATTTGCGACACCTTCGCAGAGATGATCTTCGTGCACGGACGCGTGCTCCTTGCATCGCGAGCCCTGCTCGGGCTGACCTAGAAGCTCTTGTCGCATCCCGTGCATGCATGCATGCATGCATGCATCCGATTCCTGTTGCATTTTTGGCCAGAAGGTGATGTATGATTCGCGACGAAAAATTTGTTGGGCACTCGTTTTTGGTATCCTGCCGCGTCGAACGGAAGTCCCTGTGAATATGCTGCATGTAGCCATCAGTCTACACTGTCCGCTAATATACACCAACCAGGTTCTACAAACACAGCTTCAGTTTTGATTCCACAGACTGCATCCTGCTATTGGACAGGTGTTGTACTTGTGTTGTGCTACAAGTACCTCCTACGACGACGACGCTGCTGCCGCTGCTGCCTCACCACCCCCTACTGCTGCAGCCGCGTCTGCTTGCCAGCGCGAGTTCATGCGATGAGTGGGAGGTACACGCAGATCCCCATGCCGGGAACATCTACTTCCGGGCAATCGAGACAGGCTGGATTTTCCGGGCTTGGAGCTTGTTCACTGCTGCATCAGCAACTTCTTTTATTGAGAACAGCCACATGGATCAAGAGAGGGGAGACTTGCAGCACACAGGAAAGCCGCAACTGCTGTCCACGACTCTTCTAGCCGATTCTAGCCATTGCCAAACCATCGGCAAAGAGCCCTATCACGACTTCTAAGAAGATCAGACCCCCACCCGAAGTCCGACAAGCCTTGGAAGCGTTCCGAAATCCCCTTGCCAAAGAGCCCCGAAAGCCCCGTCAAGGCTTCAACAAGAAGTGTTTTGGGTTTAAGGTTTTCCCAAGACATCCGAAATCCTGAGCCTCAAAATAAAACCACCAAAATCGACTGCAAAGCCATGACTACGCGGCTGCGCCACGGCTGGCCGCTGTGGCTGCTCTTGGGACTCGGGCTCTGGCAGCCCGGCACCTTTTAGGTCTCTGTTCGTGCGAGTGACATGGGCTTGGGCTGTCGGATTTGCTTGGGTTTAGCGGGTTTGGCGTTGAGATACGTTGAGCTGCTACTGAGCTGCCCCAGTTCCCGATTCAGTCTTTCTGCGTCGACTCCTTGTCCCGGTCCTCACGTCGGAAGGCCCTTGTCGAAAATGCCGAGGATCTCACAACTTGGCTTCGTGCCGAGAGCCTGGCGCGCGGCTGGGCCTCCGGCAAGGCGCGCTGTCCCGGGGCATGGATATGGGATCCCCCCTAGGCCCTCGAATGTTACAGCGAGGCTCGGTGCTCGCCGGGGATCCTCAGAGTCTCCCAGAGGCGCGTGGCGCGGTCGGCGAACCTGGAAGATGCCATCGCCGAGGCCAAGGCGGCAGAGGAGGCTGATGCGCCTCGGCACGGCCGGACTCGAAAGACTAGATATTTAAGCTTATAATACTATAGGAGCCTAAAGAATTACCAATTCTATTTTGGGGTTCCTTACTATAACTATAGTAGAACAGACTCTGTGTGACGCGGTAGTAAAGGTGAAGATGCCATCGTACAGAAACAGCAGGTTCGCACTCAACAGGCAGTCAATCGACGCCGCGAGCCCAAACCCCGAAGCTCTATGCCCCAAACCCAGACCGTAAACCAAGCTGCCTACACTTCAAATCCCAGAGCCCAAAGCACAGCACCCCAAATCTGAAAGCCCGAAGCGCTGAATTCAACCCCCTATATCCCAACACCGCAAAGCCCGAAGCCTTACGGCCCCAAAGCCTCACGAGGCCAAGCAGTGGCCGCCGAAGGACTGGCTCCGGATTTCCACCACGGTGGCATCAGAGGAGGCGGTACCGCTCCTCCGATCCCAGGGCACCTTATGGTTTAGGGTTTAGGGTTTAGGGTTTGCCCAACGATGCAGAGTGTAGGATGCCTGAATGATTCAGGGAATCCACTCTATGATTCGACTAAAGCTTTCTCCAGCAACGCCCGTCTGATGGCTAAGGGTCCTAATCCGCATGGCCAGTCCGCTAGCCTTCCCCAACTCTTCTTGCAGCCAGGGCAAGCAGAAAGTGGTGCGTGCGAGTCTCAGTTGGTTTGGGAGGTCGAAGCTCTTGAGATGAGGGAAATAGTGATGGTCACAAAACCTTGCAATGAATGACATGATGCAAGCAGCACCAACCAAGAAACTAAGGGCAACAGACAATAATAATCAACATTTTAGAGTATGAGCAGACAGAAACAACAACAGTTGTCTCACCGAGCCTCACATGCAACAGCAGTTTTCAGCCGACTAGTCACAACAGCAAGATAGTCACCGTTTCGTATGGAAATCAGCAGAGATATCGGGGTTTCCGAAAACAGGGGACCCTAAGAAAGTACCCGAAATTTAAATAGTGGGATCCTTACTATAAGGACCCCAAAATAAGGTACCCCTTATTTTCGGAAACTCCCATATCTTGAACACACCTCCATTAGGCTGAGGGGATCGCAGAGTGCAAGTCTATCGAACTTTTGGTGCGTGCCCTCCTCGTGCGCTGTTCGTAACACTCGCCGGTATTCGGTATGCCTCTGCTTGAACTGAAGTGACACCCGAAACTACAAAATTCCACGCCTACGACGCATGAAGACTTTGGGTCCTGTCGGAGTTGAGGTGCGATTCTGGCAATCTCGGAAGGCCTGCGGTTGGAGGCCTCTCGGAATCAAGTTCGTCATAGTGGTTCGATGGGTGGGGCTTATAGTGTATCTCACAGAACTAACAGCGACAACTGTTGTTTGTCCGGTTTCTGTTCTAGGAGTTTCTGGTTCCAAGTGAACTGGAAGCAGCTCGTGGTTCTCCAAGATTGTGATGCTCTAGCCTGTGCAATGAGCATGCCTTCCCATCCTTTGGTAACTTAGACCTCAACCCACCGACCGTTACCCCGAAACGCACATCCCTAAGACCTAATTTTAGACCCCTGTGGGCTCACTTTGTTTCCTGGTCATTGTGCCCGCTGACATGACACCTTAAGGGCCGGGCACCTTCCGCCCTGAACCCTGCACCGTATCACGCAGCGATGAGCAGGAATTCCGAGTGCGATGGCTGCGCCGCAGCTCTGGCGAAGACGCTGCGCGATTGGCACTCTGGGTTCCACCCAGGTGGCAGATTCCCCCCCCAATGCAGACCCCCTGATCAATAAACCAGTTTGCTTATTAAGGGACCTTCAATTCGATACTTGTTGTTCGCCTGTAATCTCTATGAGTCTATGAGTGACCAGCGATTACCCAGAAGTCCTGCACCGGTCGGGGTAGAATGTACTTGACACTTTGCCTTTGTGCGTTCCCACTGATGAGTTTTGAGCGTGTGGTTTGTTCGTGAAGGTGGAAGGTCGGGGCCAAGCTTCAAGGGTATGGTCGAAGCGTTACAGACCGGCCACTAAGTACTCACAGGCATTGGGTGAATCATGCTCAGGACGCGACAGTACATCATACAGGCATACATTGCACACATACTTGCATAATCTTGCATACATACGTGCGTTACATACGTACGTACAAACACACATACAATACACACACACACACAT